GCATTGCAAATGTTTTTCCTGGCTTCTGCCGCATCTGCCAGCACTGCTGCTCTTCTCTCTGTGAGGTCTTCATTTATTGCTTCTCTGGACTGCTTTGCAAGCTTAGACATTGAATTGCCTTAGGCTTGCGCCCAGTCACATTGGCAAATAAGCTCAAGAGTTTTTGAGGACAGGTGTTTTTTTTTTGTGGCTATCTCTCTCCTGGTGTTTCTCGCACAATCATGGAGGTGCTGAACCAGTCGATCGTATTCTTTGTCAATGTTGTCAACGATAGCTTCTTCCCATGTTACTTTAAAAGAGTTCATACATATTAGTCAGCAAGGACTCGTTTGTAGAGTTTACAGGTGCTACCCTGCCAGTCACCTGACCCTTGAACACTTCCTAAACACTGGAGGCCAGACTCCAGAAATGACTGGGTTAGCCACAAGTCTGCTTGCAGGTGCTGTATTTATTATCCGTAATTTCACATATTGGCCAAAAGCTAAATAGAAACTTTCAAAATATTCCTAAGATGGCCTTCTTTTGATCATTTCTAAGATGGCCTTGATCATTTCTAAGATATTCCTAAGATGGCCTTCTTTTGATCATTTCTAGAACAAGAGTTTGCTCTATTTGGAATCTAATGCGAACTTCTCTGGCAGGAATGACAGATTAGCTAAGAGAAATTTCCTTTAAAAATTTTTGTGAATAGGGCATAAATATTGAGGAAGCTTGCCTTGCATGCTGTGATCTTGGCTTGATCTTGGGTACCTCGTATGGTCCCTCCAGCACCATCAAGAATGATATCTAAGCACAAATGCAGAAGTGATTCATGAGGACCGCTAGGTATGGCCTAACCCATCTCTCTCCCAGAAATATCAGTGAGGGAATGGAATGATACTGACCCAATATGGAAGGAGTTTATGATAATTTTGGTCATGTCAACTGCTCCACTGTAAAACTGAGTTGAATATTATTAGAAGAATAGGTTTTTTATTGCTACTATGAAGGATGAGTGTCTTTCCTAAAGAGTTGGAAAATGAATAGATTGCTCAAGGTTCAAAAACCAGCACCACAAGATGCTCCCAAGTGCTATAAGGAGCAACCTGTGAGCACAGAGCTGGGAGTAAGCCTGAGAACTGCCAGAAATTGTGCAAAAACAAAACGAGTCAAAGGAGTTGTAGTGGAATCCTAATACCTGACTATAGAGGAACTGTCTGCCTTTTGTCTAATTATGTTAGCAAGGGGTATTTCTCTATTTATTGGGGTATTTCTCTATTTATTATGCTGAAGAAAGGCTGAGAGTTTTTAATTTCTCTTAAAATAGGCAATAATACAATGGTCTCTAACTATGATGGCATTTTATTAATAAAATAAGGTCATGACATTGATGAATTACTGAACTTAGAGAACTTATGCCAGTGATACTTAGAAAATATAATGTGTGACTTGTTCAAAACTGAAAATGCAATAATGCTAACCAAAATAAATTGATCAACTTGCTAATTTTTAAAAATGGTTACTTTATACCTATTTTATAAATAAAATAGATTAAAACAGGCATTATTTTCCTAATACTCAGAGCATTCATTGTCTTGAAAAGACAGAATACAGAAAATTCCCTTTTGGTGCCTTTCTGACCAAGGGAGCTAAAATCGATTTTTTCCTACTTTAAAAAAATTACACTTTGGGACCAAGGAGATGGATCAAAGAGCGGGAGTGAATGCTTTGCAAGTTAGAGCCTCAGGTTTGATTCTTGGTAGAGCATGATTCTCTGAGCATCTTACTAGGAGCATTGCTAGAATAGCTTCTTACCCAGTTCTGAACTTCTGAACTTTCTTCTGTACTGAATTGGTTATTAGCTACATTGTAGATGTTTTGTTTAAAAAGAGAATCAATACTTACATTGAATAAGACCAAATCCTAGAGTATTTTCCTTTCCTAGACTCCTGGCAATAATTAATCACATTCAAGATTATTCACAGCTTCCTTTGCCATTAAATCATTTCAATAATAAAATCAAAAATTTCAAAAGGACAGCAAAGTTTCTGGGATGGCTGTTGTGTCACATATCTGTATTTTTATTATCTTTGCCACTAAGACTGTTTACGTATTTTTAATATTCACAAACATTTAAAAATAGAACATTTTCCACTTTAATGTTCCATGCACAGAGGTAGGGTGTTTGCGTTGCATGCGCGGCTGAGCTGGTTCGATTCCTCTGCCCCTCTCAGAGAGCCCTGCAAGCTACTGAGAGTATCTCACCCACACTGCAAACCCTGGAAAGCTATCCATGATGTATTCAATATGCCAAACACAGTAACAACAAGTCTCACAATGGAGACGGTACTGGGCCCGCTCGAGCAAATCGATGAACAACGAGAGGACAGTGCTACAGTGCTACAATGTTCCATGAAGGAAATATTCTGAATCATTAAATTTAAAATCACATTAATGAATCCAATATCTATTTTAGCTTAAGTTATAATTGCTCAATTTTCAAGGCCAATTCACAAATAGTTTTCAGTCTAATGTCATGAGTACTTCTTTCCCTCAGTTTGTGAAAGATCTTCATGTATCTGGTCTTCCCTATTGTCCCTTGTAGATGTTATCTCCTAACTGCATTTCTGTACATTCAACACCTATTGTTTAGTTCTGAAAATAATGGAGTGGGAGTGGTGGATTGCTAGAGACAAATTTCTCAGAGATGGTACAGAGAAGATGTAGAGGAATAGTTAAGCAATCTCTCCAAACTGTAGGATCAACAACACTGAAAGCAGAAAGACAAAGCACAGCAACCAAGCTTAAAAATGTGGCTTTGGGCTGGGGTTTGGGGCTGAGGGCAGTAGAGAATTTGGGGACAATGGTGGAAAGAAATCAACACTGGTGGTAGGACCTGTGCTGGAACATAGTATGCCTAAAATGCAATAATGAATAACTTTGCAAATAGTGGTGTCTTGATAAAGAATTTTTAAAAATTTAACAAAAAATTACTTGTGGGGACTGGAGCAATAATATAGCAGGTAGAGTGTTTGTCTTGCATGTGGTCGACCAGGGTTTGATTCCCAGCATCCCATATGGTCCTCTGAACACCATCAGGGGTAATTCCCAAGTACAGAGTCAGGAGTAACCCCTGTGCATTGCTGGGTGTTATCCAAAAAGCAAAATTAAAAAAATTACTTATGTGGGACTGAAAGACAGTATGTGGGTATGGTGCTTGCCTTGCATATGTTTGACCCAATCCATCCATGGCATCCTATATGGTCCCATAGAATCAACAGAATTCCTGAGTTGCAGAGTCAGGAGTAAGCCCTGAACATCATAGCGTTGGTCCAAAATCAGAAAATTTGCTTATGATCAAGATTACTGTTCTTTAAGGTTACAAACTTGCAATCCACAGCAAATAAGCAATGTTCATCTAATATTATTCCATGATGAATACAGAACAATATTGCAGTAGAGTTAGGAAAAGTAAAGGTAAAGGTAAGGTAAAGGCCCTCCCGTTGATCGTCGATTTGCTCGAGCGGGCCCAGTAACGTCTCCATTGGAGACTTTGTTGTTACTGTGTTTGGCATATCAAATACTCTCGGTAGCTTGCCGGGCTCTCCGAGAGGGGCGGAGGAATCGAACTCGGGTCGGCCATGTTGGCCGCTTGTAAGGCAAATGCCCTACCGCTGTGCTATGGGGGTTAAATAGCATGTGATATCACGGTCACGGTCATGGTCCTCCCGTTGTTCATCGATTTGCTCGAGCTGGGCCAGTAACATTGTGAGACTTGTTACTGTGTTTGGCATATCAAATATGTCATGGGTAGCTTGCCAGGCTTTGCCATGCGGGCAAGATACTCTCGGTAGCTTGCCAGGCTCTCCGAGAGGGGTGGAGGAATCGAACTCAGGTCAGCCATGTTGGCTGCGTGTAAGGCAAACGCCCTACCCACTGTGCTATCGCTCCAGCCCATGTGATATCACATAATATATTATATACTACATATTACATACAAAGTGATGCAGCATATTACATATATGAATACAGATAGAAGTAATTAGATAATTCAAACAACTAATATCAAATTTATCCAATGCTAGGACACATATAGTCAGTAAAAAAATATGTTCTCAAAGCTGGAAAACAAATCAAGAATAAAATATACAATTGAAATGTTAATGTCAGGTTAAAATTGAAACAATTTTTTCAACTCATAAATTATCAAGAAATCTTATTTCCATTCTTGTTACATATTACTTTTGTCTACTAATTCTTACAACTCTGCTAAACAATTCCTTTTTTGTCCCACTAAGTAAATTTCAGGGAAAGTTGTTATAGATTACACATTTGCAATTTTGAGGAAGAAAATAACAAAGTATTCTTAAAATTTTCATTATTTTCTTTAAGAATTGATACTGTTTTGAGATTGATTAAGAAAGAGGGCCATGGAAAACAACTTTCAAATATTTTACCCAAATATTTAATTTACAACATTATGAAAAATACATATATAACTTGCATAAATGTACTGCTTATTACTATGTTAAGTGGGATAATAGGAAGTTCTTACATTGATAATTTCAATACGTCCTATAAATCCAAGTAAGACCTTGGAATAATTTCTTAAACACTATTAGTGACTTTAACTTAGACCCTTTCCTATGACACAAAATTAATAACTCTTTAAATCTTTACAGCATAGAGAGATATCTACAGTAAAGACTGAAAATAGAGGACTGCTTATATTAAATAAATACATTATAATATGCATATATTCTAATATATACATTCTTACATATATCACCATTTCTTAAAAGGGTTCTTCATGGTACTATTGTAATAATTACAAAAGAAAAAGGACAAATTATGATAGCAATATGTGAGTATTTTCTTTCAAGATATATCTTTGACTAAGAAAGGACTTGGAAGCATAGAGAAAATTGATATGGGAATTTGGGGTGGAAACAACTTGAAAATTTATCTTGCTTCATCACACCAAAAACACATTTTACACAGAGTTTAAACAGAATCCTTACCTTTAAAATTGGGTCTGATTCTTGCATCATATCCAGATGTCCTTCCCATCAGCTTATCCAAGAAGTCAGAAGGTGACATTGGAGCACTTCGGGATCTCGCACTATCGGTTTCTTTTGTAGCAACCAAACTACAAGTGGAAATACGTACAGATTTTTAATAAAAAAAGTCTCTTAAGAATTTCTCCCTCAAATGTGATTAAAATTTTAAAACTAATACTATTTAAAACAAAACAAAAATCTTTCTATAGTCTCCAATTAATGTTATCCTAGTGGCAGATAAGTTTTTGCAGATACACAGAGAGCATTGATAAGCATTCAATGCATTTGCTCCAAAGATAAGTAGCGATATTATTTGGTGCTAAGTCTTGTAACAAGGCTGCTTCAAAATGATCAGATTTTCAAAATTTGTATTTATTTAAACTTTACATGAATTGCTATTTTAGCTACACCAACTTAGTCTTTTAATCATACGAAAAGATAGACTTGGGGGTATGGTGCCACCAGTGGGTCAATCTGTACCTGTGAGGAGTGCATCAGCAGCCTGATGGCGCTTTCAGAATTCCAGATAGCCAAAATTGCCACTGTGCCTTTGGCCAGATCCCAAAAACTTGGGGCAAAGTTAGCCAAGAAAGTAAACAGCCAAAAATTAGGTATGTGGAAACACACCACAAACCACCTCCAGCTCAGCTATATGATTGGAGGCAAGGCCTCTCTGGTTCCTGATAGAATTGCTTAATGGCCATGATCCCAGAGACTCAGAAACAAATCACAAAATCCAATGGCTTTTGGCAGAACTGCATCTGGTTTAACCTACTGCAGTAGGTTATCGGCACCGGGCCACCCCAGGTGGGAATAGGGTTTGTGATTTTGCCTGTTCCCCTGGCGGCCTGGTGGCTGCCATCCTCCAGAGGTCACTGGACAGTCAGGCTTGGGCCCACAGTGATGAGATACGCAGGGCCTCACGGGATGGGGGTGGAGCTGGCCCTTTCCTCCCCATCCCAACAAGACACCATGTCACCACCCGTGAACGACCTCCCTGGCTGCTGATCAAGCTGCTTAACGGCCATGATCCCAGAGACTCAGAAACAAAACTTGAAACCCAGCGGTTTTTGGCAGAAATGCGGCTGGACCATGCAGTAAGTTACTGTCACCAGGTCACCCCAGGGGAGTAAAGGGTGCTGTCCCTCTGCCTGCTCTCCCCTCGCGGCCCAGTGACTGCCATCCTCCGGAGACCACTGGACAGTCAGGTTTGGGCCTGCAGTGACCAGACACCAGGGGCCTCAAGGGATGGGGGTGGAGCCAGCCCTTTCCTCCCCCTTTCAACAAGACCCTGAGTCGCCACCCACGAACGACCTCTCTGACTCCTGATCAATCTGCTTAACACCCATGATCCCAGAGACTCAGAAACAAATCTCGAAACTCAGCGGCTTTTGGCAGATGTGCATCTGGACCCTGCAGTAGGTTACTGTTGCCGGGCCACCCCAGGGGGGAAAGGGTGCTTTCCCTCAGCCTGCTCTCCTTTGGCGTCTCAGTGGCTGCCATTCTCCAGAGGCCATTGAACGGTCAGGTTTGGGCCCTCAGTGACAAGATACGTGGGGCCTCACAGGATGGGGGTGGAGCTGGCCTTTTCCTCCCCTGTCCAACAAGATCCCGAGTCGCTGCCCATGAATGACTTCTTGGCTCTTAATCAAGCTGCTAAACAGCCATGATCCCAGAGACTCAGGAACAAATCTTGGAACCCAGCAGGTCTTGGCACAAATCCCTCCAGATTTAATTGTTAAAATTTCGGAATTTCAAAATCGACATCATATGTTATTCATAACCAGCAATAGAAAACAAATTGTCTACTGTTGTCTTTTTGGCAGGCTCGAGTGTTGGGTAAAATTCCAAATAATAATGGTGGGTTAGGTGTCAAAATATTGAATGTAATCAAAGTAGAGAGTAATGTAGAGGTCATCTGCCCCACAGGTAGGAGGAGGGTGTGGAATGGGGGTATACTGGGGCTTTTGGTGGTGAAGAATGGACACTGGTGAAGGTATGGGTGTTTCATTGTAGACTGAAATGTACAATGTAGAAGTATTTCAACACTTAAACCTGAAAGTTTTAAAGTTTTCTCCCTCCCACCCCAGCCTGCCTCTATGGCAGGCATCTCTCCCCCAAGTCCCTCTTTCTCAATTTGTAACTGTTCTCATAGTTATTCAATAAATAAAATTATAAAAAATAAAAAAATGGTAAGGTGGAGTTCATGCCCAATTCAATCAGCCTAATCAGTGACTGAATAAATAGCAGTACTACTACATTAAAAAAAGAGACTTTCTTGTGTGAAATACAATTCTTCATTTAAATAAATAGGTTAAATTTTTATTTATTTATTTTATTGAATCACTGTGAGATAGAACATTACAAAGATGTTCATGAATGGGTTTCAATCATACAATGTCCCCACACCTGCCCCTCCACCATTGTACATTTCTCAGCACCAATGTCCCCAGTTTCCCTCTCACCAATCTCCAAATTCGTCTCCCACCCCAGCCTGCCTCTATGGCAGGCATCTCTCCCCCAAGTCCCTCTTTCTCAATTTGTCATCTTGAGCATTATGGTTTGCAGTACAAATACTGAATATCATGTATATCCCTGTACCTATTTTAAACACTCAGAGTGATCATTTCCAACCATTGTCATACTGAACTGTCCTCTATCTTAACTACCCTCCACACCACCACACACATGTGGAAATTAAATACAACTCTTACAGAAGGAAAGGCAACACTTTCCAAGTTCTGACAGATTTTCTTAATGGTAATAGAATGTCTGTCTAATGAGCAAGAATGTTGGTTTCTTCCACTGGAGAGTTTCCTATATATGTAACATACCATGTTAAATTTATCATGCTTTCAATTGTGTCATTAATTTAAGGCACATTTAGTTCAGATCTAAATGATCTGAATCAAAATTGAGAAAGGATCATGAGTGTCATATGTGCCTTTGGATATTTAATTCATAAGTAAAACCCGTGTTTAGGAAATGTAGGTTACTGTAATTTTTTAAGTCAAATTTTTTTTTCATGAAGCTACTTATCTCAGAACTGTTGAGTGAAAATACCATTTCTGTTCAGCTCCTTTTACCTCCTTTTTGTGTGCAGAAAAATTGGGTTTACTCTCTCTAATCCAATATTCTTTGCATCATCGGGGAAGTGAGTAAGACTTTCTGAGCATTTTCTGTGCTTAAATGGATATATTCAAAGGAGTGTAAATCCCTGGAGATCATCAATCTTCACATTCTCCCAGTTCTGTCACTTAATTTAGACTCTTGCCAAACCCTAAATCTTTGTGGTCACCCCCTGATTACAACAGTCTCAAGTTCCTTAATGGGACTATGGAACTAAATGCATAAAGAAGGAAAGAACGTAACTTTTAGTGGTAAACTTAATAATATTTATACATCTTTTTAATGATATATACTTGAAACATGTTATAATGAGAAATACTTCAATTAAAATTTTTTTTCAAAAGTAGTAAAGACAGGTTATAGTGTACCACCATTAAATTTTATACCAGATTCGTATATTGAATTCATTGGATTCATAAGTATAATTTGAAAATCTTTCAAATGATAACTCAATATGTTATACTAAATTGGTATTTATAATATTAACATAGTATTATAGAACAGTTATCATTTAACATCAAAATGGTAAACTATAGGGGCTGGAGAGATAGCACAGCGGGTAGGGCATTTGCCTTGCACGCAGCCAACCCGGGTTCGATTCCCAGCATCGCATCCCATATGGTCCCCTGAGCACCGCCAGGAGTAACTCCTGAGTGCAGAGCCAGGAGTAACCCCTGTGCATCGCTGGGTGTGACCCAAAAAGCAAAAAAAAAAAAAGGTAAATTATAGTATTTCTGAAAGCATGGTTTAGCTAGTATATACAACTGTGAACTATACTATTCTGTTCTAGCGATTATTTTTCTAACTCTGACCATTTTTGTTTGTTTTTAGGCCACATCTGGCAGTGCTCGACCTAGAAGGCTTACTTCTGGAAGCAGTTAGGGTACCATATGGTACCTGTGATCTAATATGGCTTTGTTGGCCTCTTGAAAAGAAGATCCCTTAGTTTCACTTGGGCCCCTAATTCTGAATATTTGAAGTCATTTAACTCCCCAAAACAGAGGGCATTAGTGTCTTTTCTCCCTATTTTTTTTTGGTTCCCTACTACTTTGTCTGCTTCAATTAGTATGAGTGCCCTGCCATTATAATTTCTTCAGGTTTTTTTAATGTGATGATAATAATGGCTACAAAAATTATAATCTTGAAGCTAAAGAAGAAAAAACTTCATGACCTTTTCAAACAGCTTAGAATTTTACAATGAGTTTGTTCCCACTGTCACTGTCCTCCCTCCTGTTGTTCATCGATTTTCTTTTTTTTTTAATCACTAAGCAGAATAAAGTTTTATTTTTTTTAATTTTTTAATTTTTATTAGTGAGACACCATGAGGTGCAGTTGAAGACTTACAAATTTTTGTGCTTGGGTTTCAATTATACAATGATTAAATACCCATCCCTCCACCAGTGCCCATTTCCCACCTGGGAATATATCCCAGAGAGGCAAAAAAGTATAGTTCAAGTGACATCTGCACTTGTTTGTTCATTGCAGCACTCTTTACAATAGCCAGAATCTGGAAAAAATCTGAGTGCCCATGAACAGATGACTGGTTAAAGAAACTTGGGTACATTTACACAATGGAGTACTATGTAGCTGTTAGAAAAGATGAAGTCATGAAATTGACATACAAGTGGTACTACATGGAAAGTATCATGTTAAGTGAAATGAGTCAGAAAGAGAGGGATAGACATAGAAAGATTGCATTCATCTGGGGAACATAAAGTATCATCAATTTTTTTGAGCGGGTCTAGTAACGTCTCCATTGTGAGACATGGTTGTTATTGTGCTTGACATATCGGATAGTGAGATACTCTTGGTAGCTTGCCGGGCTCTCTGAGAGGGGCGGAGGAATTGAACCCGGGTCAGCCAAGTTTGCTGCATGCTAGGCAAACACCCAACCACTGTGCTATTGTTCCAGCCAGGGTCACCTATTTCTTCACAGACTTGTGGAATTAAAAGAAGAGAG